TTGGCTAAACCCCTTCTTCTTAGAATCGAATCCCACGGTGTTCATGTAATTGGTGTAAGTCCCAAATTGATCATAATAGAATTGGCTATTCCGAATGTGCTTGTGTTGAAGGATATATGCTCAATATGTATTGTAAATGCTTCATCATATCACCTTATCATTGAGGATGTGTTCAAAATATGGAATATGTGTTAAAAATGTTAAGACTTCAAGTCAAGATCGAAATAAAGGTTGTGATGCCAAATTGTATGAAAAGCCTCTATGTGCCTAAGATTCCCAAATTGCTCATATGTGAATTTAATGTCTTGAACGGGAAGACTTATTATTGTTGATAATGATAATGATGTTTGAATGTGGAAAGGGGAACTGGAATTCTGAAATACGGCCAAGTGACAAGAATGACTTTATAATTATGGCCACTAGTGCCAATGAATTTAAAGGATGTGAAAGAAGTATGATGTGAGATGATTGACTGAAATAGGTAATGTCTCTGGTGAGACGGCCTAGCCGATCGGGCCGTGATCGGATGCCATGCTGCACACATGGTGGTGACTGTGCTGGAAATTATAATGAAATTGTGGTTACGGTTGATGTCTTAAATGAGACGACCTAGTCGATCGGGTCGTGATTAGACCCCGTGTAAGAATACGGTGGTATTGTGAATTATGGTATATCGGCACTAAATATCACCCAACCTAATAACATGGAAATTGACTTGAAAACTTATGTGATCCTTAACTTGTTGTTTTAGTATTACTTGAAGCTCTTATTGAATTCTTGACTGTTCTTCCTTGTATTATTATTCATTCTATTGAGATGGTGTTTAGTTTTACATACTAGTACTATTCGACAGTACTAACATTCCTTTGGCCGGGGGCACCGCATCTTTAAATGGATGCAGGTGGTTCCATAGCAGGCAGTGTTGATCAGCGATAGTGGTACATCCTCTTCCCAGCAGACTTGGTGAGCCCCACTTCATCCTGGGGTCATGTATTGTATCTTTTATTCATATTATTATCACGTTTTGAGGTATAGCCAGGGCCTTGTTGTCGGCTCTATCATAACACTCTTTTGTATCTTTTAGAGGCTCCGTAGACACTATGTGGGTTATACATGGGTGCTAGAAAAGTCAAACAAGTTATGTTGTGTTTTGATCACTTGTTCCACTCAAACTATAAGAACATATGTATTTTGAGACTTAAAAGTGAAGTAAGTAATGAAATGATTTAGTATTGTGTACATGATCTCCCTACTGTCTAATTAATGAAATTATGTCTTCTCTTGATCATGGGTGCATTGGGTAGAAAGCGTCTAATAGGTTTGCTTGACCGGGTTCACTCGGTTAGGCGCCGGTCGCACTTTCCGAGTTGGAGCGTGACACTACGGGATATCTAGGGTGAATACGTTTTCTTCTAATATAGATCGTGCGCTAGAGCGGGGTCGTAAGTATTCATTTCTAATCCCCATATTGTTTATGTTATAGCGATGCCTACCACGAGACGTCATGAAATTATTCAGGGATTGAATGAAGAACTAGGAGAAGGTACCAGCCATGTGCCACATGCCCCTATTGGTCGGCACGGACCTCATGATGAGGCTGATACCCAAGTTTCGAGAACAACATCAATACCCCCGGAACAACAGGGAGAAGCTAATGTGCCTAGGATTCCTCCTCCGGGTGTTCCTGAACAATATCTATATATGAGGAGTGTTGTGTAGTTGTTAACTAGATTAGTAGCCTCTCAGGCCCAACATCAGGCCCCTACCGCCTCAGATAGAGCAATCAGTACGCGGGCTTGGGATTTCATAAATTTGGACCCCCCGAAATTTTCTAGTGCAGATGCAGCAGATTTTACCAATTATGCATGCCACTGATACTGAGTCCGCGGAGCTTGCCTCATACAGATTGCGGGATGTTGCTGTGAATTGGTATGAAACATGGGAACAAGCTAGAGGACCTCTTGCTCCACTAGTAGGATGGAGGGAGTTTTATGAGGCCTTTCTACAACAGTATTTGCCTATTGAGCTCCGCCGAGGTAAACAAGACAGATTCTTACGTTTGGAGCAGGGTAACGTTAGTGTCTGGGAGTACAACATGCAATTCAACTCCTTGGCCAAGTATGCTCCCTTGGTTGTGGCCGAGACGAGTGATAGGGTACATCAGTTCGTGGGTGGTCTAGGACCACATTTGATCAATGAGTGTACCACTAGTTCTCTGAGTCTGAACATGGACATTACTCACATTCAAGCTTATGAGCAGAGTTTGGAGGATCAAAAAAGTCAACAGCGAGCTACTCGAGAGCATGATCTGGCCTAACATAAAAGAGCCCGGTCTACAGGTGATATGGGTGAGTCTCGAGGTGAGTTCAGACCTTTGTTTCACCGGAACTCATTTTATCCGATGGCTAATGCAATAACATAGTCTCAGGGTCAGTGTCGTAATCGGACCACTCATTCCAGTCAGGGTCAGAATCCCCGAGGGAAGAACTTATGATATAGTGGAGACTCTAATAAGACGAGGCCCCCGGTGCTGCATTGCGGCCGATATGGCAGGAATTATTTTGGTATTTGTCGCCAAGGTTCAGACGTATGTTATTCTTGTCGGAAGCCCGGTCACATTATGCGTTTTTGACTAGTAAGGAATGTGGGAAACATGATGCCGCCAACGGGATCTGCATCAACTTCGTCATCCTGACCATGCCCCCATGAGCAAGGCATGCAACCATCGGTAGGAAGAGGAAAAGGTAGGTGGAGCGTCCAACTCGGGTGGACAACAGAACCGCATATATGCATTATCGGGACAACAGAACCTAGAGTCAACTGAGTTGTTGTTGTTGTATGTAATCGGCTTACTTAGTCTTAGAGACTAGGTGCCATCACGATACCTAAGGCGGAATTTTGGGTCGTGACATGACCCTGACGGCACTGATGTATATGTGTGTAAATATATCAATGCTAAAGTCTCTTCCATAGTTAGTAGTGTATATTTTAAATCTTGTACTATCACTTGGAGGCCTTGTTGGCCCAAATTCTTTAATAAAAAAGGTCTAAGCATGGCTGTCGGTTCACACGGGCCTTCGAGTGTCGTGTGCCGGTCGCACCTCCCAAGGTTGGGGTGTGACATGGGTTAGATACCATCACGACTATGTGAATTTTGAATCGTAACAATAATTTTGGAAAAAAAACTAATGCAAAAGAAGCCTGTCAGTTCTCTAATTCACAGCTTACAATTGAAGAGAAACAACTTTTTTTTTCATTTTTGAATAGGGAGATTTCCTTTATATTTTTTCCAAATGACATGATCATATATCAGGGAAAAATATCCACAGCTAAAGTACTAATTAAGCTTTGATTTTACTTCATTTCCAGCAATCTCACTTGGGGGATGAAAACAAGCCATTGTTTCTACATCTTGAAAGTCAGAAGAGAAACAACATAGTGCACTGAGAATTTTAAATAATAATAATAACGTGGCACATCCATTTTGATCTTCCTATAAGAAATGGCTAAAATATTTTCACTTTTAAATACCTAAACTGTCCTCTCGCGCTGCAACAAAGAGCAGCATATATTACACCACTCCTGCATCCTCTGTTTAAACATTTGCAGGCAGCTGCACCATACTCCTCACCCTTGTTGTGTCCGGTACAAACGTTTAAATTGCTTCACAATATTTTACAGGCTGCAACAGAGAATATAAACAAATGAGTCAACAGAAATATGAAACATGGAAAATCAAATAGAACAGGAGAATATTGTTGGATTTTGCATCTGTTACTGCTACTGTTTTCTAGAATAATTAGTTGTTTAGTTTTAGGAGGAGTCTGCTAGCAGATTCAGAATTTTAATTATAGTAAGAGTTTAGTAATTTAGTTGTAGGAGGAGTCTACTATTTTATTTATTTGGCTATTTAAGGCCCTATGATTAATAAAATTTTAGAGACAGTTTTTCAATCATATTTTCAACCTTCTTGCTGCTTGCATATTTTTTCTAAAATCCATAACAGTGGTATTAGAGCCTCGATTGATCTTGACGGATCTCTGAATTCGCTGAAAAACAACCAATTTCAACCACTTTTAAACCATACGTATTTTTACCCATACCGATTTTTAACCATATTTTTAACAATGGCAAGCAGCGATCTCTCTTTGAATACCCTACAAACTTTTACTAGTAAAAACTATCAGATTTGGTCAGTGAAGATGAAATCTTATCTTGAAGCTTATGATCTATGAGAAGTTGTAATGGAAGACAAACTTATACAACCACTTCCTGCAAATCCTACCCTTGCCCAAATCAAAGCTCATTGAGATGAGAAAACCCAAAGATACAAAGCCAAAACTATAATTTAAAATTCAGTTGCAGATTCAATCTTCTCTAAAATCATTGCATGTGAGACAGCAAAAGAGGCTAGGGAAACACTCAAACAGGAGTATCAAGGAAGTGAATGAGGCAGACAAAATCAGATTTTAAATTTGAAAAGAGATTTTGAATCTCTTAGAATGCAAGATGATGAGACCATCGCTAAGTATTCTGAACGAATTTCTTCAATTGTCAATAAAATCAGGTTACTTGGCGAGGATTTCAAAGATAACAGGATAGTTGAAAAAATTCTTGTGACAATTCCCGAGAGAAGCAAGGAAGAGTATTGGATTTTGCATCTGTTACTGCTACTGTTTTCTAGAATAATTAGTTGTTTAGTTTTAGGAGGAGTCTACTAGAAGATTCAGAATTTTAATTATAGTAAAAGTTTAGTAATTTAGTTGTAGGAGGAGTCTACTACTTTATTTATTTGGCTATTTAAGGCCCTATGATTAATAAAATTTTAGAAATAATTTTTCAATCCTGTTTTCAACCTTCTTGCTGCTTGCATATTTTTTCTAAAATCCATAACAAATACATCTTGCACAATACAGCATTTCAATGTCACACATGAATCATTCTGGGGAAGCATAGAGGATATAAATAGACGAGTCGACAGAGATATGAAACATGAGATATCACATAGAACTGGACAATACATCTTGCACCACATTGTATCTCAACCTCCCACATAAATCATTCTTGAGAAGCAACAACTACTTGTCGAGGGAACAAAACAAACAGGAAGTACGACTCCTGAGTTTCTACCCTATTTCGAAAAAGGAAAAGAGCACTCTAATACAGCTAGAATGAATGGATTTGGTGAAGCAAACAAAGCTGACTTCTCTGTCATACTATTTCCTTAAACCACCGAAGAATGAGTTGTAATGGCCCCCTCACAAATTTAAACAGAAAACTTTAAATCTTAACCAAATAGATAATTGGTAACATCTATATCCAATCATTGCACGGTTTCAGAAGCTGATCGAACTTAATGTACTGACCACACAGCTTGTCGATGAGAAGCTTATAATTACGTTGTCTCCTCAAGTAGGTAGAATGCACATGCTGAGAATTAGCGACTAAAGGTGACAAGTAACTGTTTGTAAAACCTCCCCCTACTTTAAGGATTCACAAAACAAGTTCCTTGTTCACCCTTGCCCCTGGTCTCATTGGTGACATGCATCATCATCATCATCATCATAAACTATAACTCTATGATGCAAAATAACTTATTATTTACCTTAAATACATTATAAACAATGATTCATTCTCAAAGGGCAAAACTCTGTTACATATTGGGTGAGAATTCGTAGCAATATACTATTTGTTTTTCCTGATATATCAAACTTTAGCAAAGTGAAAAACACTCTTCCTACTCTTGTCAGTTGATCTTCTTGTGAGTATTTGCATCATACTTTCCACTCACTCTGCTACTGAAATAATTAAGAAAAATGGAGGCCAAGTTAACCAAAAAAACATAAAACCAGGTAATCTTATATGCTAATAAGAACCCCATGCAGATAGGCCAACCAGTCTCTAAAATATTGGAAACCCCAAAGAAAATAATTGGCAACTACTAATTGATCCTTAAATTTTGGAAAGTAAGCAAATTAATGAGGTGATTTGGTTTTTGACATATTAAACCAATTTGCATAAGATATGTAGCAGGCAGTAAGGTAGGGCACCTTAGAGAGAATGAAATCATATTCACAAATGTCAAGTACAAAGAGAGCAGATGAGGAAAACTCTGTTATATCCAAATTATGAGTTCTTAGAAAAACGAACATCAGAGCAACCAGAAAACATAGTTACTTCGCCTTCCAGTTTTCATTCACTCAAGAAATAATTATTAGTTAGTTATGTAATCCACCATCTCATATAGTTGTCATTTTGATTCAATTAGTTGGTGTAAGTGAGTATATAATCATCAAACTTCTAAATTAAATAAATAAACAGTGTAAAGTTGTATGAACTGATATCTAGAAAATAATCTAAATAACCTGATAAATCATTAAACAACTACAGTTATAATAGTTTAATGTAACTTACTAACTTAAATTAGAGGTGCTTTAGTTACGGGTTCATGTGAACTAGGTAACTTTTGGCTCAAATCTGGTATATGTGTTAAAATTCACTAAATAAATACTAGTAATGAATTTCGACCCAGCCGTAAATAAAATAGGTTGCAGTAGAATTCCAAACTCAAAGCCGTAATATTCAAATCCCGGATATTTTAGAACTAGTGACAACACCACAATGAAATCTAACAAAGATATGAAAATAGATCAAAAGGAAGGCCGTAACAATCATGCGCCAGTAAAAGGGAAAACAAGCGGAAGACATACAAAAGAAATAAGAGCAAGAAGGGAGTCGATCTCCAAGTTGAACAGCTAAACAAACATCATAAGAATTCTTAAAACAATCCTTACGTTGAACATCTTTTCTTGGCGGTTGAGAGGAAGGCGGCATAGGCATAGGGCAGAAAATGGCACGTCCAATCATTGACAAAGTAGAAACAATCCCAGCAAGATACAAAACCATCACCAACCCAAGAATCCATGGCATCATGAAAAACCCAATAAAGAACGTCACAGATCCACAGAGCATCAAAGCCATAGAAATACCCAGAAGCAGGGATGCGAAACCCGCCGGACTAATCTGCTGCATCGGCGGCCTAGCCGGCGCCGGAAACTGGTCGGGAAACTCGAACGGCGCCGTCGTTGGAGATCGGAGAATGTTAAGAATCATTGTGGAAAGATCGTACAGAAGCTTAGATTGTTGATCCTGTTGCCTTCTCATCATGTTGCTGCTAAAGTTTCTGTCTTTTTTTCTTCTTTTTCTTTTTGCCAAAAAGAAGATTAAGAGAAACAAAATAAAAAATATCTTGATGATTTTAATTGATATATATATCCAATCAAAACTTTATGAGAGAGGTTTTGACTGACCAAAAAAGTGAAGACGCGGCGGTGCTGATCCGATCACTAATGATTGATCACATACCCGCCTACCCTTACACCTTATGTATATTAAAAGAAAAACCACTTGAACGACGTGTATTTAATCTTATTTTTGACATAAAAAAATACCAAAAAGAGTTAATAATTTTTAATATACATACATATTGGAAAACTATTTGATTTAGTAATAAATTACAAATTAAAATATACCAAAAGAGCCACCATTATCGCCTAACCTTAAAAAACCTTTGATGAATAAAATCAAAAGACATACCCTCCAATTAACTCTATCTCTATGCATGTAGCAATCATACAATCAAATAAACTTTGGTACATCTCTCTTTTGAAACTTTAATGGCTTCTGCAGATGATGCCGGAACTAGCATTCTTTAATCAACTTTATCTTCTCGGCCTTCAATTATAGCAATACTAATTGTGCCTCAACATAATTGTCTTCTCAACATGTTGATTGCTCTTTTTTTGTAATATTCAAGCCTCGCTTTTTCTATTTAATTGTAAATCTCATGCACAAAATCTTCATCTTCATCATGTACAACTATATAAGTAATAATTATAAATTATTATGTGTTAGAGTTCAAATCTGATTGGTGATTATGAAATGTTAAATTACATAATGAATCCTTCTTTATATAGTGAATGAATTAATGAATTAGGAAATTAAATAATATAAAAGCTAAAATTATTAATGTTCGTAGCTCGATAACATTAAATTGACTTATACCTGCGATATGAATTTGTCTGACATCTTTCTGTGATTGAATGATTGTCTTTATTGTAAATCCAGATAGATAATTATAAAAATTAATAATAACAACATTTAAAGAACTATAGATAATAATGAAGGCAAAAATATAAATCAAAATTTTAATGCGATATATCAGCACAAATTGCTTTCATATGAAGAAAAACACTAAAATTATTATTTAGATTGATACACTAACGACAATACTTGTCTCAACAAATACAACTTCAAAAATCAAATTAGTTCATGGTTAATTTCACTGTAAAAGTGCATTAATCTTTTCCAACTTTATTTTTTTTATTAGTTATTGGACATTGATCTTCATTCTTTCTTTTCCTCTTCTTTTTACGTATCTTTGCAAATTTATCTTCGTCCACAACTACAATTGCATCAATATCTACAAGTTCGCGTTTGAGAAATTAAACTCCTTAAATTTTCACTTATCTTATCAATCGTGATAAGGAAAGTTATTTTTTAATCTTTATTTAACACGAACTTGCGATAGTACTTAGATTCTTCCAATCGCATCATTTGAAAAATCCTATACTAGAAGTTAATTTATGTTTAAATTTTTTTTATTCAACTTTTGATTAAAATAATTTCAAACTATTAATAACTAAAAATTTAAATAAATAATTTTTTGACCTTCTTAGAGTTTAAGTGAATGTACTCTTCAATATTACAACCTAAAAAAGTATAATACAGATTTACCATTCTCCATCATAAACTTCAAACCTTAAATAATATTTAGAACATGTAGATAAATAAATTTATAACTCTTTTTTTCATGAAATAAATAAAACCTTTTTTAGTGCATCTGACCTTCAATATTCTCTATGTTGTAATTGCGACTTTGAAAATCTGATTATCTCACACCACTACCGCCTTGATTATGAAAAATGTTCATGAAAGCCCCTTTATTCTTTTAGAATACTGTATTTATGTCTCTGCAAGCAACTTCTCCGGTGATGCTTCTCCAAACAATTAAGGCCATCTAGATTCTAGAACTCAAATTTGTATACATCTCATGAATATATGAACACCAAAATCAACTCTTCCACCAGAAAGGACAAATGTATTCCATCACCTTGAACGTGACTTCAATATGTTACGAATATCAAGAACTTCCTCTATCTCATAATTTTTGATGCGCATATAGTTTTGACAGTCAATTTTGGCAATGTTCAATATGATATCATACATCGATTAATTTGCTTTTACTGAACAAAATTTATGTTTTTAACAAAATACTCGAAGAATACTGTATGTTAATTGATCCATAAAAAAATTCGTGTAACTCTATCCTCACAAGCGGGGTAAGGTCTGTGTACACACTACCTTCCTTAGACCCACTGTTGTTAGTTAATTTATTTAGGTAAAAGTACAACACATGCGACGGAGGAAATATTTGTTGAAGTAGGTGACTTTTCAGAATGAAATTTTGTCAGAACACGAATTGAGATGAAGCGACTAATAATAATTCAATATGTGCGACTAATAACAACTTACGAGTGTTACTGTCTTGATGATGGCATCACGATCGTATTCAGACACCATGGCTTTCTCTCGAAGAGCATCACATCAATAAATAGTTGTATTAGCCCGGGCTGAGCCCAGGCCCAATTGCCAAAATCAATATATTGCAGCTGCTTAAGACAATTCTCTAAATGTTTATAGAATCTTCGTAACACGGATAGAAGAGTATTTAATCTTGTGGATATGTAGAAATCCACAGGTAGTAGTTACATTGAACAGAACCTATAGTACTAATATGTATATGAAGTATGTTATGGCAATGACAAATCTAAGCATCTGGAAGCAAACGCAAAAAAGGATGTAGCTGGTGGGAATAGAACCAATGACCTTACAAATGTTTTGAGCTCCCTTCACCACTAAGCTATGCTTTTGGGTTGTGTCAAGGGAATTCAAAACATAATATAAAGAGGTAAAAAATAAATTTTGCCTTACATATACACTGTAATTTTTCGGCGAAGGGGGTTCGGGTGAACACCCTTCCGCCCCCTAAATCCGCCCCTAGTGGAAGCTTTTCCAGCAGCGAATATGAAAGATGCAACACATTATATCATAACCAAGGACGAAGAAATTCAATTTCAGCAATTGAGTTCCCGTGTCCAATCCCATAGCACCAAGGTCGATGAAATCAATTCGTTTCATAGTATCAATTTGGAAAGTAATTTGACAAAACAGTTCCTCATATTGTATCTTTTAATTGACTGGATCAGCTATATATATATCCCAAGTATACGTTGCCAAACTTGTAGTGCACCCTGTAAGTAACCAAAATAGCAAGTCAAGAGGTATTTCCAAGCTTGATGTTCCTTCTGTTTTCAAGATTGGTAAGTAAAATTGTAGTCCCAAATAAAGACTTGAAGAGCCAAGTCAAGTATTGAAATTGTTGTCTAAGTATTAATTCACCTGAGTTGCCATCAATATCAGAAAGATATTCTTGATCTTCTAACAGCTTCTGTATTTATTTCTTTGGACCTCTACATTTAACATTTAAATGGTTAGGCATAGAGTTTTCAACTACGCTTTCTATATCTATTTGATATTAAAAATATATTTTGACTTTTACTTATCAATTTTAGCAAATCAAGAGAAGATCATATTTCTTTGTTTTACCCATATCATTAATTACTTATTTCACAAATCAGTTCTCAAGACTTTTCAAAATACTATCATTATTATGGGTACTATGGTAAAATATGCGCCTCATTTATTATTTTTTAAGGGGCGTGCAAAGTTCATTGCGGACAAGTAAAAGTGAACGAAGTGAGTACATACTGATTTAATCATCGTACTTGAGACTTCTTTACTCTTTTTAGAAGGGTATTCTATTTTTTTTGTTTTAAAAAGTTATATCAGGTTAGAGATAAAGTAATTGAGTGCGAGAAAAAATTGATAAAACTCCTTACAGTGTACTGCTAAAAGAGTGAGTTCAGTTAACCCATAAATCTCACAACAGAACAATCACTGGTCTTTTGAACACAACTGCCAATTACCTTCAGAGGAGAGGAGGGTTATCAGGAGCCAATGCCTCAGCCACAAATTGCGGTCCAAGCGCTGAACCACGGATTCCAACAGAAAGAATTTGCATAAATCGGCTACCAGAAGAAGTCATGATCTGCAAAATAGATGTTGTAATTGGCATTATGTTGATTAAAGCGCTTAACATAACAACCAATAACCAATTTCAGAAGTGGAAAAATATGCTTTTGGAGGATAAACAGATAATAACTCAGAAAAAGTGCCTTCACAACTTAGAAGTTAGAAACCAACATTACACTTCTAAACTTAAAGATTTCCTAGGCTTATCTCTGAGGAAATTAGTCTACTATTCCTATGGCTTTTATCAACAGGCAACTCATGCCAGCAGCTCAAAGTTTGATCTGAGTAAAAGCCATCTTTGTATCAAGTGGCAACAACACGTACATACTAAATGTTAATTTGGGCAAATAGAAACACACTCAGAACTACTCTGCATTTAACATTTTAGCGGTAAGGGACAGAGTTTTCAAGTAATTTTATTGGACACAGAAAGAGTAGATACCTGTTTTGTCGACGTTAAATCTTGTATGAACAATAGGTAAATAAACTATTCCTGCATAATAGATGAATCTATAAGCAGTTGAGGTAGACACGATAAGAGAAATAAACTTAACTTATTATCATAATAAACGAAGCAGTTATTCTAATCTTCTATTGCAGTGATGATTTAATTATTTTTCAAATCAACATGTATAGAGCAATTGAAGCTAATACTGAGCTTATGTAACATGTCTCCAAGTAGCAGCAGAAAAATCGTGCAACTACACAAAAAATTATCATAAGAGTAATTACCTGAAGCATGTTGGCATCAGCATCTATAGGTGCATGTTACCCTACAAAAAAGCTAGGTGAGAACATTTTCACCAAATGAGAAACTGAAAATACTATTCCAATTAGATCTCTTAAACAAGAAACATGATTTTCACAGTTCTACTAATGAAAAATATCAACATTTGAAATTTTATTATATCTACATACGTTAATACATAAAGAAATTATTCAAAAAATACTGTCTGTGGACGTACAGGACAAAATTGAAGCAAGTGGATTGTGAGTTCTTGAAGAGGTGTGTTGAGAATCTGACAGAAGAAAACATGAGATTACAGAAAGAGGTTCAAGAGCTAATGGCACTGAAGCAATAATAATCTGAGTCTATAGTTGTAACAGTAAGCAGATGAACATTTATATTGAGCCAAAATAACATATGTGTTTAGATGAAATAACACTATCTCAATTGCGGTGTATTCTTTATTAGGTGCAGCTGACGTCGAACCCAACAGATAAATAGTTCTTCAATGAACCTTAATGAGTTTCATATATTGGTGCAAGTGTACGGAAACTTTTAGTAACTTACCTTTCTCATAGATGCAAATAGGATTTCCCTTGTCAAAAGCAGGGAATGATGAAAGGACTGTAACCTTACTGTCTGCGTAGTAGGCAATAATAATGTTCACAGTATTGAATTTAAGATAGATATTCATGCACAGACAGAAATTTCATTTGTGATAAATAATGAAACAATTGCGTGTACTATACAGATTGCGATAAATTATACAATTGATATATTAACCTATTTTGGGAGTAGAGCAAGAGTCTGCTGTATTAGGAGTACACTGCACATGTCATGATGTTGTTGTTATCTCAGTAGAAATGACAGAAGTATCTCTTTCAAAGGGACTACGTTTCAGCGCTTGATTTCTAAGCACTTGTTGTAACGATAGTACACTCTTTTCATTCGCCTCCTTAAGTTTATATTGTTCACGCCGTCTAACATTCCTATCAAGACATTTCTTTCAAGAGTAAGGACACTTGTTTGTTTGTTCAGAGTCCATCAATATTAAAATTTGTCGCTCCCAAGTAGCAATTGGGGTCAGTTCTACAATTTTGAACATTATAAAATTCATGGTCAGTAAGCGAACAACATTGTAGCCGCAATAGCTGCAAAGAATCACTGAATAGACATGTAAGGCCCCGTAAAATTTTGAAAAAAGAAATATAATGTTTCGTGGTGCCGGATCGGACTTTTTGGGTTGAACAATGCACTGAGGGATAAAGGAAAAAATTTTGGCAGAGAAATACGTTTCTGCGGTCCATTATGCGACCGCAGAATCACTCTGCGGACCGCATAATGGCCGCAGTGTGAGGCAGGAGAGGGGCAGTTTGGATGCCATGCGACCGCAGACCCAGGCAGATTTTTGCCAGCTTTGGACACCAATTATGCGGCCGATATGCGGTCCGCATATCGATTATGCGATCGCAGACCTTGTTCCGGAGCTTCATTTTTGGGTTTTCAAAACCCGACCCTACTTCGTTCAATACACGCTTTGGGTCATTTTTGAGCTAAAATATGACATTTTAGAGTGAGAGAGAGTGCCCTAGAATGAGAAGGTGTTCCTCAATAATTGTTCTTCAATTCTTGATCAAATTTAGGAAGATTAAGAAGGGAAAATCACTAGGTCTTCATTCTAGATGTAAGATTCTACATCCTAACCCTCAATTTCGAATTTTGTCTAGAAATGGGTAATTAGCAAAATAATTTTTGGTCATGAGAGTTGTTTATTTTACATGCATTTGTTATCAAAGGGTGTAGGAAGATTGTTGAGCTAAAAATGGTAAAGATTGGGTTGTGGTATGATGGAATCCTCCATAAAAGGACCTTGAAACTTTAATGCACACCTAGTGTTTGATAAAATGCTCAAATGAGCTAGAACCATGAACATCTTCCTAATTTTGGTTCAATTTGTTATATTTCTAAAATAGATTGAAGTTGCTAAGAATTCCGGAACAATTTAGAGTTTAAGGAAGCTCCATTGAGGTATGTTGGCTAAACTCTTCTTTAAGAATTGGAACCCCAATATTCTTGTAAGTTCCAAGATATTTATTACAAGTTGAGTATTCCGAATAAGTTTTGTGACAAAGATATATTTTCATTTCGTGTTTCAAATGCTCTTATCATATTGTATTATAAATTGAGGATGTATTCCAAACTATGGATTGTGTATCTACGTATTATGATTCCAAGTCACGATTTATGTGGAAAACTATTATGCCAAATTGTGTAGAGATTGTGATTGGGGTTACACTTCCACCCGCATATATTGGGGTGAGGCGGAAGAGCCGCTTTGTGTATGATTTTGGTATTGTTGTTGCACCACCACCCACATATACATATTGGTGTGAGGCGGCAAGGCCGCTTTGTGTAGGTATTGGTATCGTTGATGCATTTCCACCCGCATGTATTGGGATGAGGCGGCATAGCCGCTTTGTGTAGGTTTTTGGTATTGTGGTTATACCTCCACCCGCATACATTGGGGTGAGGCGACAGGGCCGCTTTAGTAGAGTTTTGGTATTGTGTTTACACCTCCACCCGTATACATTAGGGTGAGGCGGCGGGACCGCTTTGTGTGGGAACGGTTATAGAGGATCTCATCTTAAATTCTATATATGTTAATGACAACTCTTGATAATCTTGCTTTGGTTTAAACAGTTAACTATGCCATTCTAGTGTCGCCCTGGTTCATCATATTTATATTGTATTTTTGAATTCTTTAATTGGTGTTTGGTTTTCATGCTAGGACTATTCGACATGTACTAACGTCCCTTTTGTCGGGGGCGCTGCATCTTTCATGGATGCAGGTGGTTCCACAGCGGAGGATATTGACCAGTGATAGCGGTGCTCATTCTCCCCAGCTGACTTGGTGAGCCACATCTCATTCCGGGGTTGTACATCTTTTGTTTCGTATGTGTTATCGTATTTTGAGGTATAGCCGGAGCCTTTTTGCCGGCACTACCATTGTACTCTTTAGTATTTTAGAGGCTCTGTAGACATAGTGTGGGTTGTGTATTGGTGCTGGGAAAGATAAACTATGTTATGTTGTGGTTGTATTACTTGTTCTATTTAAGACATTAAAAATGATGGAACTATTGGTAATGAATTGGTATTGTGGACATGAACACATTTTTGTCTAATTAATGACAATATGTATTATCTCCATTCATGGATGAGTTGGGTAGAAGAAAATCTACCAGGCTTGCTCGGTCGGGTTCACTCGGTTGAGCGCCGGTCGCGCTCCTCGGTTTTGGGGCGTGACAAAACAATAGAGAAATAAACATCTCTGCAACCAAGAATTACGGAATAAAGTAATACAAAATTGTAAGAAACAAACGTAACAATTGTAAAAACGATTTCATTAATGCTGAGTAACAGATAAGTATTCAAAGATTTCAACCTTAAGCAAATATTAATATTTTGAGAATGAGGAGAACAAGAAGTAATATAAAATAATATCTATTTGTTTTAACTAACCGTCCTTCATGTCTGTTACGTCAAACCAGGCAGGTGTATAAACCTTTGTTTTGACCAAGGACTGGTGTAACATAACTCGCTATTATATAAGAAGCTTCTTTGACTTCCCTTAAAGTTATCACCAAAAACTGTGACAACTACAAATGGACCCTCCCACACCCCGCACTAACATAGGAAAATATAAAATAGTAAAACTTTTTTTAACCTAAAGGCATGTTGGCTCACTTGGCATCTTTTAGGAATGCAGCAGATAAGAGCTTTTAGACTGGAAAAATACGTTATTACAAGCTCGTCTTTAAACCTGAATTTGGGCCTTACTTCAAATGATAGTTCGTCTATTATCAAATTAAAGAGTTAAATTTTACTTTGCATTTTGAAAATCCATAATACAAATAGCTTTAAACATAATTCTACCAAATATTAAGTAACATGCTTTCACAAAATTTCTACAGTGTTATATTCTTTCTCCTGGAATAACTATGCAAAAATGTACCTTCCTCAAAACTCAATGCTCCGAAACAGGCTCGACTTTAATTACAAATGTACATAACAACCCAAAAGCATGCATTTGAGGACTCTTGAATCTCTGTAATTATCGAGTCGGCCCTATAACATCAACTATGCCTCCTTATTCATTATGCATTTTGGCCAGTTTCACTCTAATATTCAATAATTTGACTAATTCAAACAAAAATAATGGTAAAGACTACAAATGAAGGCGCAGAAGCAGGTCTTACAGCGAAATGGAGTTAACTTTGGGCCTTTTACTACAAGAATCACGATCCTCCAAATNAGCCGGTTAGTACTCCACTTGCTCCCTATTTTAAGCTAAGTACTATTATGTCGCCAAAAGATGAAGTTGAACATGAGTATAAGTCAAGGGTACCATATGCAAATGTTGTTGGTATCTTGATGTATGAATCCCCCCCCCCCCACAACACACACACCCTACCAAAATAAAACCCTAACTTTACAATAAATTACACCATGACCACTCCTTTCAAACAAGAAAACGCACAAATTACGCAGTTGAGAGAATCTGATGATACAAAGAAAGAAACAGAGATGTAATCGGATACCATAGAAGGCAACTAATTGGGGAATATTTTAATTAGAAAAAAGGAAAAAGATATAACGAACTGTAAACGAACCAGTTGATGGTGTAGCAACAAGCAAAACAACGAAAGGCAGACAAAGATTAAAGCTTAAGGAGTGAGGAGGTTGCAGGAGAGTTTCATAAACGGTGGAACTTTACTGAGTTTGGTGAAATACCCAATAACTTCTCCATTAAATCATAGTAGTACTTTATTATTTTGTCCTTTTAAAATGCAACAGTAACGGTTTAGTTGTAATCATAGTAGTACTTTATTATTTTGTCCTTTTAAAATGCAACAGTAACGGTTTAGTTGTGGTAAATATTTTGGTAACTATTATCAACTTTAAGACAAATTGTTGACTTTTCCATGAGAATTTGGTGAAACGCCAGGTAAGGAGTTGATGGACAGACAGCCATGTTGATGACACAGACACGTGAAGAAGCTCAACTGTGGCTTCTATTATAAGAGAATGACACCATTTAATTAATTAATTTATTAGAATATTAATTCTATTTAGAAAGATATTTCGGTAATTTAACTTTTAAATTTTGAGGTTCCCACTTTTATAATAATTAGTTTTTCGGCACGTGCAAGTTATATAGTACATAATTTTGTAAAATAATATTAATATTATTAAAATAAATATTTGAGTAAATAATTATATACATAAAAGAAAGTACAACAAAGAGAAGGAGTTCTAAAATTAGAGAAAAGAAAATAAAGAAAGAGGAATAACAATACTTCTTCAACGTCGAAGAATTGGTAGATCAATGATTTGTTCTTAAGAATGTTGGAGAATTTCCTTTATGTAAAATGTGGCTTTTGATTTAAAGCCACCAATAGTTAAAGCATAATTCAAACAATTAGTTAGTAAAGAAGGGATACAATCTTTAAGAGAAGACAGTACTCAGTCTTCTTCTTTTATTTTAAAATAGTATTTTAATTAATATAATTTTTTAGTTATGATCTCAACTTTGAAGTATATATGTGATCCATCCAAATAAATTACCTTATAGATATCAGTTTCATGATCTTAAGATATTTTCAAGTATTAATATAAGCTTAATTTATATTTTATTGCTGTGAAAATAATCTTTTACATATATTCATGCATGCTATATAATTATAACAAAGTTAGTTAATATTCATTTGGTAAGAAATTAAAAAAATCACCATTAATGATATGCTATTTTCAATCATCACGTACATGTAAGTGGAATAACATATATTTTTAGATCAGCACATCATGAGCATCTACTAAGGATAAGAAATAATAAGTAAACTATAAAATGAGACAAAAATATGTTTTAATTTGTTGTCATCAAACTTACCAAATTGTGACAATTCTAAATCAACGACACTTCAGTTAGGCCTTTGTTTAGCATATCCATATGTTTTTCCGAACCAATAATTAACCTGATTTTTTTTTTCCCCGTATTTCGTAAGTTAGGCATTGCAGAATTGATAAAATATCAAATAAGAAGATAAAATGCATTCCTTCTTTGTCCTGGAAAATGTGATCTTTTAGTTAATTTTCCAACATTAGCTTTTAAATTTGATAATACAACGATTCCAGCCTTGATCAAGCAGTGATGCGGCTCATTTCGCTATCAATCATTGAAGTCTCATTTTGTTGTTTTCTTCCCCTTTTCGAAACTGCCAATTGTCTCTTGCTTGCATTCTTCAACTACCAGGCTTCATTAGTTGGAACCACATTATAATTCAAACAATTAGAAGTTGTTGAACGTTCGACGACCAAAACAGAGATTGTATACTTGAAAGTAATTAATAAACTTTTGTATGGAGTATATCTTAAAAGTTCTTCCAAGTCTTATGAAGAAAGGTTTTCATAGAAAAGGCTTTGTTCTCATTTAAAAA